CTTATCTGAAAACTCTTTTTGAAAACTCTTTCTCAAAGCAAATCCTTTGTAGCCTTTCCTTAGAAATGCAGGAAGAAGATCTCTCACTTTTCTCCTTCTCCAACACTCTTACAGAAAGTTTCATACTAAATCTCACAAAAAAAGTTCTAGACTATGAAAGCAAAATCACTAATTGACTCCAATATGGAAGTGGAATGGAATGATGTGGTTCGAAAAATGAAAGTAGAGGAGTGAAATGAAAGAATGATGTGGTGTGAAAAATGAAAGTAGATGAGTGAAAAATGTAGAGGAGCATTTGTTCGATGAAATTCAACCCCAAATAGAGCCCAAGGTTTATTCTCTAAGAGGTGCCTCCAAAAGCTGCCTCCAAAAACTCTTCCAAAAATCGTCTAAATACATTGAACCTTCTAAAAACGGGGTCTGCACCGCCTTTGGTGCTGGTCTGGCACTATCGGCATTGAGTAAAAAATCTTTGCGTTAATTTGTTCTGTGTCGTCGGAGGCCTATGGTCTCGAGTGTAAAGGTGGGAGTAGGGCGGAGTTCTATGGTCTCGAGGGAGTAGAATGGAGGTCTACAGTTCTGATTGTAAAGGTGGGAGTAGGGCGTAGGCCTACGGTCCCGAGGGAGTAGAACGGAGGTCTACGGTCCCCATTATAAGAGTAGAACAGAGGTCTACGGTCTCCATTATAAAGGTAGGAGTTGGATGGAGGCCTACGGTCGTGAGGGAGTAGAACGGAGGTCTATGATCCCTAGTGTAAAGGTGGGAGTAAGAAGGAGGTGTGCAGTCTCGAGGGAGTAGAGTGGAGTTCTACGATCCCGAGTGTAAAGGTGAGACTAGGGCGGAGGCCTATGGTTCCGATAGAGTAGAATGGAGGTCTACGGTCCCGAGTGTAAAGATGGGAGTAGGGCGGAGCCCTACGGTCCCGAGGGAGTAGAATGGAGGTCTACGATCCTGAGTGTAGGCAGAGGCCTACGGTAATATGGGAGTAGGGCAGAGGCCTACGGTCCCGAGTGTAAAGATGGGAGTAGGGCAGAGCCCTACGGTCCCGAGGGAGTAGAATGGAGGTCTACGATCCTAAGTGTAAATATGGGAGTAGGGCAGAGGCCTACGGTCCCGAGGGACTAAAACGGAGGTTTACAGTCTTGAGTGTAAAGGTGGGAGTAGGGCGGCGGCCTACGGTCCAGAGGGAGTAGAATGAAGGTCTACGGTCCCAAATGCTGAAATGGGAGTAGTGATTGTGGGGAATCTACGGTCCCAAATGCTGAAATGGGAGTAGTGATTGCGGGGAACGCAGAGGATTTTGTGAAGTGAGGAGGATGTGGAATGCATGTGAAGGATGTAGAATATGAGAGAGATGTGAAGGATTAACCTACCATTTTTATCACTTTCATTATATACATTTTATTATCATGAAATATGTTGTTTTTTTTTGGATAAAATTTTAAGTTTTGGGTTTTACTTATATAATTAAATTTTCTTCGTATCGTTCTTTGTTTATTATAGTTTAGAACCACCGTGTGGTCATGCGGCTTCTCATTATTCACACAGAAAGGCAACTAAAAAAATATGCTAAAATTCAAAATAAAATTCATTAAATCTTCTTCCAAATCATGTAGTACAACTAATCACATGTTGAAACTGTCCAAAATAGCATGTTGAGTACGTCAATATAGGAATTGTAATATCACATATCATATCCTCTGTACTCTTATAGTAGAAAAAGTAGCAGATGCATGTCTATCTCTTAATATAAGCTCATGATCAAGCTAACCTTCTATGCCACGCTCCGGGGCAAAAGTCCTCTCGCGTATACTTAAAGGAACAACTATCTCACAGCTAGTATGGGCGTAGCTCTTCCAACTCTGAATCTAGCTGGAATCCATGTGACACCTTGCTGTCATCCATTATTCTAAAAGTGATAGAAATTATGCGATGCGGCACTCCTAGGAGGCAATGCTTCGCCAAGTCTTTAGGATGCAGAATCTCGACCAATCCTCTGAACTCTCCAGGTCCCACAATGCCAATTTCTCTTCCAAATAAGATGTTGCTCTTTCTCATTAAAGATACTATACAGAAAGGCCTGACAAAGTCATGGTGATCTATGTGGGGTGGAATGCAGTCTCCTTCCTCATAGATATTGATGTTATAGCTATTCGGGATACAATCTACCGGCAATATGCTCCACCTTACCATTCTTTTTATTATCCTTTTTATCTCAAAAGGCGGAGGATCCACCTCGTCATTTCTTAGGGTACCTGGGGGGTTCCCTAGCCTATCTTTTACGAAGTTATAACAGCAACCACATTGAATTGTAATTTGTCCCTTGCCCCTAATCCACTTCTACGTCTCTGAATATGTTTTCTTCATCAACAAACCAGCATGACCTTTCTCTCGTAGATTAAATACACAATCGAGAATTCTCCTCTCATCCCTTTCAGAGAAAAATTCTGTATGTAATTCCAAACCTTCCAAGATGTTGACAAACTTTCCTCAAATCTCCTCATAAAATTCAAATTCTTGTTTCCTGACTCTGCTCATTCTTTTAAGGCCGGTAGTAGGAATCCTTTGTACACGTTGAGGCTGCTCCATTGTTTCAACCTCTGAAGGAATCCAAAATTGTGGCATCTCTGTGAACTGTAGGATGTATGACTCGACTTCTGGGTGTTCAACACTTCTGAATCTCATGCTTGCAGCGGCATATTCTTCAAACATCCCGTAATGCTCTAGTTGTAGAACGTTACATTTGGGGCACTATGTAAATGCCCCTGCTGCTGATGTCTATCTTAGGATTTCTACATTACACATCGGACATCCTGAGTAAAGCTCGACGGGGACCTCCGACTGCGTAGACTCCATAACAAACTTTGGCTCTTCTTCTGTGACCGACAGACTGGTGGAAGCCTCTCTCAAGTTGGGTCGTAGACCTTCTCCTCATGAATAAGGGTAAGTGTCGTCTCTACCTCCCTTCCACATCTTCTCTTCAACAAATGAAGGTTCTGTGTTTACGGTGGTTGGCATTTCAACATTTTGTCTTTCTTAGTGGCGCGTCAGGAACTCTGTCGGGAGAAACACCGAAAAAGTCTCCTGTTGGTGTAGTGATCATCGATTGCAAATGGCTAGTCACTTCCATTGGGTACTGTATCTTTTCTACTTTATTCCTCTTTAGTGAGAGTCATTCCTGACACTGATTTTGAGTAGTGATGGTAGTCCTTCCATCTCCCAGTGGCTGACGATACCCATCAGGGGACCCTCGTATTCAACATTGACTTGACCGTAGTCCAATTCAAAGTTCATGATGCCACCTTGGGCTGCCTTTTCTTTGTTCAGTGTGATATTTAAGCTATCTTTAAAAGAGAAAATCAACTTTGGACCCAACATTTTCCTATAAGAAGATAAGAAAACATCAGCACGCTGAAATTCAAAATAAACAACAACAAAAAATCATTTTTAAGTAGATTTTAGAATTATACAGGTGCGAACATTTTATTTAACTTAAATTGGCAAAATTCAAAACTAAAGTGAGGAACTTATAAGTGCAAATTCAAATTCCCATTTTATTAAGATCAATTTTATTACAAAATTTTGGGACCCAGTCACATACACTAGCCAAATATTCATTCCTCAGACCAAATATTATTTTAGGAGATTCACTTTGGGGAACATTAATCTGCATAATAAGTCTTCAAATATCATCCATTGTTTGACAACATAGGCCTCTTGACTCGAAAGTCCACTAACTGATAAGATCCTTCTGAATAGACCTTCTCTACGACAAATGGTCCCTCTCAAGTTGGTTCAAACTTTTCACCTATCTTGCGGTGTGCAAGGATAGGTCTCCTGAGAACAAGTTTGAGATCACCAATTTTGAACGCCCTTGGGCGGACCAACTTGTCGTGAGCCTACACCATCCTTTCTTGACAAATTTCTAGATTCTGCTACGCTTCTAATCATTTTCCTTCGAGACTCTCCAATTCTGCAAGTCTTAATTTGGCATTGTCTTCTACTATAATCTAATTAGCGTTGGCTACTCTAAGAGATGGTAGCTGAACCTCCAACAGAAGTACAACCTCAGACCCATACACGAGCACATATGATGTACACTGGGTAGGAGTTCTGAACGTCGTCTGGTAGGCCCACAAAGCCTTTAACAACTTCTCGTGCCAATTTCTCTTATTATCATCTAACATCTTCTTCAAAATTTGCACGGGCACCTTATTGAAGGCTTCGACCAGACAGTTCACTCTGGAATAGTAAATTGTGGTGTACCTCCAATCTATCCCATGTCCTCTGACAAAACTGTTGATTTTAGTGCTTTTAAAGGTTGACCTTTCGTCGGAAATCACTCTGCGTGGAACACTGAAATGGTAGACAATCTGAATTTTGAAGAATTTAAGAACGTGTTGCGCTGTAACCTCTCCTAATGGTACCGCCTCTGCCCATTTCGAGAAATAATCTGTAGTTATGAGAATATATACATGACCCAACACTCAAATGTCCACGAGGCGATGGTTGGGTGTAATACATTCAGAGGTTGGTGCAAGATCACTCCATGCACTTGGCACAGGTCACACATTCTAGTGGTATCTATGCAATCTATCAACATTGCTGACCAATAATATCCGAGTCTTTTAATATTCATTTTCATCTTTGGTCCTGACTGTTGAGCTCCACACAATCCGACGTATACTTCTTTGACAATATCTTGTGCTTCAGCTTCACTCAGACATCTCAGCCACATCTGATCAAACAATCTCCTATAGAGGACATTATCTACTAAGGCATACAACATGGCTCTTCTCGTGATATGATATGTGACTGACTTGTCTTCTAACAACTTTCCTCTTCGCAAACATTCTATTAATGGTCTGCGCCAGTCCTCAAGATCGTTTGCCATTGCAGCTACTATTCCTTCTTCTTTTTTGAACTTGTGCAAACTATCAAGGTCAATCTGTAACAGGACCTGACCTCCTTCTACTGTAATGTCAACGGAATCCTTCGGTGGACATGTTATTTCCTTAGCAAGTTTTGCTAGAGCGTTGGCATGGGCATTGTCTTCCCGAGGAATCCAGTACAAAGTTAAGCTGGGAATCTGTTCTAACAACTTCATTGCATATTGATGGTATTCTGTTAATCTCAGCTTTAGGATCTTATACTGTTCGACAACTTGTTGAATGATGAGTTGTGAATCTCCATAGATAGCAATGTCTATTATATCAGTTGAGATTGTCAACTCCAATTCGGTAATCAAGGCTTCATACTCTGCTTCATTATTTGTGCATGGATCTATCAAGTGGTAAGAAAACCTTAGAATTCCTTGGTCCGACGTAATGAAAATCAGATCAATTCCTGCTTTGCCTGATATGACTGTTTGTAATCCTTTATCCTTTCTAGCTGATGAAGCCCCATCAAAATACATTTCCCAATGTCAAGCACTGGACGCTGATGAAGCCCCATCAAAGTACATTTCCCAATGTCAAGCACTGGACGGTCCCACCTATAGTATTTGCTCATCTGGTAGCTCGTCATCAAGAGGGGACCCAGTTGGAAGTGGGTGTGCTACAAGAAAATCTACTAAAATCTGTCCCTTGATAGCCGAAGGGGAACAAAAGTTATATCGAATTGCAACATATTCATTGACAGCTCGCTAAACGTCCGGAAAGTCTTGGTCAGGTCATCGGATATTACAACGGATTAACTTTTAAATTAAGGGTGACCTTATGAGAAATCATATAATGTATAAGCTTTTGGGAGACAAAAATCAAAGCTAGATAATGCTTCTCAATAGGAGGATACCTTACCTCTGTCGGTATTAGACGTCGATTCAAGTAGTAGAGTGTGTTTTCCTTATCCTCGTCATTAACCTGAGATAACAAGGCTCCGAGAGAGCCGTCCAAGGCCACAATATAAAGTATTAATGGTCTTCCCGGGGTAGTCGCTGCCAAAATAAGAGGTGTCATCAAGTATTGCTTAACATTCTCAAAGGCCCACTGGCATTTCTCTTCCCAAACAAATTTAGCGTCCTTTTTAAATAATGTCGAGAAGGTCTGACACCTACCTGAGAGATTAGAAATAAAATGTCTTAGGTATGCCAATTTTCCTTGAAAGGAACGTAGTTATTTCAAGGTTTTGAAAGGAGGCATTTCCAGGATAACTTTACCTTTATCTAGATCAATCTCGATTCCCCGATGACGAACAACAAATCCTAGAAAATTTTTAGAGGTAACACTGAAGGTGCATTTTAAGGGATTCATCTTAAGATTATATTGCCTTAATCGTTCGAACACGATCCTCAAATCATACCAGTGATCTACTCACTGCTAGCTTTTGACGACCAGGTCATCCACGTAACACTCCACTTGCTTGTGGATGAGGTCATCAAAGATCTTCGTCATAGCTTGTTGGTTAGCTGCTCTGGCATTCTTCAACCCAAACGACATCATTGTGTAGCAGAAAATTCCAATATGCATCTTAAAGGTTGTAAGTGTTGTGTCTTTTGGAGCCATCTTGCTCTGATTATAACCCGACGATCCATCCATAAAGAAGAAAATCTCATATGTTGACTGATCCCGTTATTGTCTATATGCAATATATATATATATGGGGATACTACGCAGGTAAACGTATCGTTATCAAGTAATATAAGACTTTTTGTTTATGACCTGAATATTGCACCATTTTCATATTTTTGCTCCAAATTTGATCAATTTTCACTCATTTTAGCATTTTTCACTTTTTTACTTGTACCTAAAAGAAAAACACAAAAAAAAACTTCCATTAAAGCGCAATATCTCAAAAAAAATGTATAAAGATGTGTCTAAAAATACTATATATTTTAGGTGTATCATTGAAGCAATGTCCACCATTAATTTCGGTATCGGTAGTAAGAAAAGCTCATTGTATCATTGAAGCAATGTCCACCATTATCCTTTGGACACGCTTTATTTAAATCTCTGAAGTCGACACATACTCAAATCTATCCATTCTTCTTCTTAACTGACACAATATTGGCTAACCATGTGGGGTTTTGCTTCTCCTGCACGAAGTTATCGTCTATTAATTTCTTCACCTCGGCGATGACTTGTTGCTCTATTTCGAGGTGCATTCTTTCGGGAGCTTATTTTACTGGGGTCATACTCTTATCTACTCTCAGCTTATGAACTGTGACTTCTGAGGATAATCCTGACATTTCATCA